GGTGCAGCCACACCTGGAATCCCAGGAATGGCAGGGACGTGATCAGCGAGTCACACTGTGTCCCAGGGTGGGAACGGGGAGCTCCTGGGGTGGACCTGAGGTCATGGGGGTGCTGTTCCACGAAAGRAGATGAGTCACGAGGGTGCTGTTCCATGAAGGATGATGAGTTCCAGAGGTGCTGTCCCAGAGAGACACTGAGTCACAGGGCTGAGGTGTGCCGAGGTGTCCGTGAGGTCATGGCACTGCCTGTAGGAATGGGAACAGGGAGGCAGCACCGGGGGAGCTCACCTGGCTGCGGGAAGGGCTGCGAGGAACAGGAGGTGATGGGGTGTGACACAGAAACAGGGAACGTGTGGCTGTGGGTGGAACCTGAGCTCCCCGGGTGTGTTGGATATGGCCAGGGGAAAAGAGCAGGTGACAATGGGGACAAGAGGGAACAAGGAGCAAAGGGAACAAGGGGTGAGGCYCATGAGCTGGGGGCGTGGATGGGGTTTGTGGGGCCGCTCAGAGGGGAGGAAGGGGCTGAGCTCAGGTGAGCGCTGCAGCCGGAGCACACCCTATGGATGGATCCACTGGCATTTGGGATGGGGAGAGGGAGAAGTGGGGATGTCACCAGTGTGGGAGCACCRTGCTCTGGGATGTGCTGGTGTGTCCTGGGGGGAGCAGAGGGGGTGTGGGACTGCACCAGGAGCACAGAAGGGAATCTGGAGTCCATGCACTGGGGGTTCAGGGAAATGGAGCACCAAGGATTGGGGGTGCAGGAGGAAGGGGAGCATCACACACTGGGGCTGCGGGTAGGATGGGACACAGGTGACACACGGGCAGAGGCTGGGGCTGATGCAGGAGCAGAGTGGCCAGGGAACRTTCTCAGCATGGCAGGCACGTCCTGCTGCTCCTGGCCCTGGGGACCAGCCGTGGCCAATGCCCTGCGGAGTGACAGCCACAGTCAGGGAACACCCCAGGTGCCGGGGGGCTGTGTGGGACACGGGCAGTGTGGCTCTGCTGCCGGCAGGACAGCCCTTCCCAGCCGGGTGAGGCTCCTGGATGRGCACGGTGAGCCGCTCCCGCCCCGCTCTGGTGCCCGCGGCGCTGATCCACAGCTCAGCCGCTCCTCGTTACCTGGTGCGGAGCCTGCGGGCCATGGGGAGAGGGCAGGAGAGGCGGTGACAGCAGCCCGGCCACCAGCAGCCACCAGCGCTGGGATTTACACACTCAGAGGTCGGGCAGGAGCCAGAGACCCGGGCGCTTTCGTGACGCTGAGAGGGGGTCAGGGGGCAAAACCCACAGTCCCTGCACACCAGAGGGATGGGGTTAGGGGAGAACTGGACAGTTCAGGGGCTGAGGGATTCCAGTCCCATGTGAATGCTGGGAAAGGAAAATGCTCCATCCKGAGGATGTGAGGGCAGAGCAATCCCACCCAGGGTGTGTGAAACCCCAGCAGCCACCCCAGCCTTGCTCTGCTGTCTGTCACCTCCTCAGCCACGGAAACATGACAAGATTGTTTGGGTTGGAAAAGCCCTCCAAGGTCATCGAGTCCAATCATTCCCCAGCACTGCAAGGGCCACCAATGACCCCGTCCCCAAGTGCCACATCCACAGGCTGTTAAACCTCTCCAGGGATGGGAACTTCAGCACTGCCCTGGGCAGCTGTGCCAGGGCCTGGCCACCCTTTCTGTGAAAAAAACTTTTCCTGACACCCAACCTGAACTCCCTCCTGCCTCTGTCTCCCCAGATGCCACCGAGCTCTCACCCCATAGGGTTTTCCTGCCCTGCTCTGCMCAATTCTGCACCCAGCAGAGCATCCCATTTTCACCTCGTGTGACTCCAGTGCCTCATGGGACAGTTGTCTGTGCTCTCCCAGCTTGGGAAATGCAGCAGAGCAGAAAGCTCAGAGAGCCGTGAGAGGCCTTTTCCCAGAGCTGTGAATGTCTTGGCAAGGACTGAGGACATTCCCTGGTACTCCTCCACCAAGAAGCTGCAGCCGGAACAGAGGCACCGAGATAYAGCCCATGACCCTGGCAGCCTCCAGTGACAATTACCATGACTGTCCCCAAAGTCCTCTGAGCCACAAGCTGCCAAGGCCACAGTTGTCCCCTCTCAGCATCTGTCCCCTTGCCCCAGGGAACATGTCTACTCCACAGCCAGACCCAGGGGCTGGGTGGGCAGCCCAGAAAGGTGCCCCTGAGATCATGTGACCCAGCATTCTGTCACTCCATCCTGATGAAGAAGCTTCAGGACATTCCAACAGCATTGGGATGTCCAGTGGAGCAGCACTGGCCCCACCCCAAGGGCCAAGGACATGCCAGGGACATCCTCCCCGGGCTGTGGGCCATGCAAGCCCACCTGCCCAGAGTACCARTGCCACCACACACTTCAGCAAGGGTCCAGCAAGGCTCAGAGGGGGGATGTGCAGGCAGGCTGGGTGCCAGGTGACACTGCCCACCCTGGAGATGTCTGGCCCAAACCCAGCACAGAGCTGGGCTTTCCCAACTTCTGTCCCAGCCCAGTGGCAGATTTGAAGGTGACGAACCCACCTAAGCTGCCATTCCACCCCTACACCACCTCCTTGGGGAGAGAGAGCAGGCAAAGTCCCACCACGGGGACCCTCAGCTCGGGGGCCTCAGCCCCTGCCTCGGTGGTGAATGGGGACACTCCAGCATCCCAGCACCCCATCAGGGCACAGACAGACCCTGTCCCCAGGCAGGGGACAAGGACAGCGCCCCAAGGAACCATAGGAGCAGGATGTCCTGTGCCCCAGTGGGAGCCCGCCAGCACCAGGCCACGTGTCAGGACAAAGTCCAGCCTCACACCGGCACCGGCCATGGGACACTCCAGCCTGCCACAACCTGCTGCCACCTCTGTCCCCACYGTCAGCAGGGACAGCCCAGGGCATCCAGAGCTGGCAGCAGGTGCAGTGCAGACCCCGATGGCCCGTGCTGGGTCCCAGCCAGCCCAGAGCTGTGGTGGTGGCACGGGCTGCAGGTGTGTGCACAGCTGTGCTGTGACAGAGCCAGCCAGCCCCGGGCAGGGGATGCTTGGAAAAGCAGCGGCTGTTTCGGGGCTGGATCTGTGCAGAGCAAGGCTGTGGAGGGCATGACCCAGTGGCCCCTGAGGCCAGCAGAGCCAGGGGCAGGGCGTGCTGGCCCTGGTTTGTAAATGAAGGTTCAATTAGGGGTGGGAACCATGATGGGGCTGCGAGAGGCGCTGTTGGAGGCCCGGTGGCGACAGCTCTTCCGGGGAAGCCAAGTATGAGGGGCAGGATTGGGCCCACGCTGGTGGCAGCAGARGGGACAGAATGCCTGTGAGCAGTGCCAGGAGCTGTCCCTGTGTCCTCGGGTGCCTAGGACGGTCCCTGCTCCGACGGGGCCGAGCCCTCGCCGCCCCCAGCCCCGCACCGTCCTCTGCCACTGCACCAGGAGCTGTCCGAGGGGACCCGGGGGTGACACCGCAGCCCGGCGGGGCCTGGGGTCCGTCCCGCGGGTGGAGGGCTCCCTCTCGAGGGCCCCGGCCAGCACTGCCCGGCCGCGGGGCTGAGCTGTCCCCACGGGTGACCGCGGGCAGGTCCCCAGGGAGGGACGAGCAGGGAAGAAGGAGGACGAAGGGACCACAGGGGAGGTGACGGGGCCACCAGCACGGCCTCGGGGCAATCAYTGGCTCCATCAGGCACCGCATTTTCTACCCGTCATTAATTAGCAGCTGCATCCGTCACTAATTAGCGGCTGGTCCGTCTGTTCCGCTGCTGCGAACAGCCAGAGGCGATGGGGCACAGCTGCGGGCTGTCCCAGAGTTTGTCCCACATCCTGGCCAGGACACCAAAGGTTGGTTTAACAGGGGACCCTATCCCAGTGACAGCCCTACAGGAGATAATGAGGCTGGGTACGGAACCCTACAAATGCTGGGCACCTGGATTAGGCATTCCAGAGAATAGGATCYGGCGGTGACATCCTATCCCCGCCCTATGCACCGCGGCGGCTCTCGGGTGTTTCTTGCTCTGAGCAAAACCCAAACTTCTCGTAGATTATCCGCTCCTGGCACACCTCAAGTTGGAAAGGACCCGACAGAGATCACCAAGTCCAACTCCCCGCTCCTCGCAGGGGCCAGGATGTTCCTCCTCCTTCCCCGCTCCGATAGTCCCCGTTCCTGTCCTCTGTCTCCCAAGCGCAGAGTGACCCCGCCCCGTGGGAGCGGGATAGGCAGGTCAGGACAAGGGGGACTTGCCTCGGTGGCGGGTGGCTTTCCCTCTGTCACAGCCCCCAGAGGGACAGGACGGGCTCGGGGGGTGGCTGCCCTCGGTCACGGTCGGAGGGGAGGAGGTGCAGATGCAGGATGGAGGTGACAGCGCAGCATCGGGACCGTGTGGGGCTGGGACCAGGGGCCGGACAGGAGGTGACCTGTCCAGGGGAGTGTCCTCTCGCCTGGGACATGAGTGACTGGATTGGAACTGACCCCTACAACTGACAGAGCAGCAGGGACAGGGGACACTGCAGAGAGGGTGGTGGCCTTGGGGCTCCTGGTGCCACCCCTCGAGGGAATTCGATGTCACCCCCAGGGCATTTTATGTCACCATCCCTGGACTTGGTCACCCCTCCCAGGGCATTTGACACCTTGACGGTGCACACAGTCACCCCTCAGGACACATGGTCACGTCCCAGGACAGTTGRCCCTTTACTCCCCCTTCCCGGGCCRCTTGGTCGCTCCCAAAGCCACGACCCCACTAACGAGGCAGCCCCGGCGGCCAATGGAGCGCGGGGGGCGTGGCCCGGAGGGATGGAAGCAGCCAATGGGGCGGGGCCTGGGCGGGGCCACGGCGAGAATAAACAGTGGGGGCGGGGCTTGGGCGGGGTCATTGAGGAGCGCGGGGGGCGTGCCCTGGGTAGGCAGAGAAGCCAATGAAGTGCGGGGGGGCGTGTCCTGGGCGGGTCACGAAGCCAATGAGGTGCGGGGGGAGGCGTGTCCTGGGCGGGTCACGAAGCCAATGAGGTGCGGGGGGGCGTGTCCTGAGTGGGTCATGAAGCCAATGAGGTGCGGGGGGCGTGTCCTGGGCGGAGCTGTGATCAAGGGTCTGCGGGGGGCGGGTCCCGGTGCGGGGTCAATGGGCGCGGGGGGGGGCTCGGCCGGTACCGGGATGGTGCTGCCGGCGGCGGTTCGGGACCGAGTGGCCGCGGCTCACCGGGGCTCGGCGCTGCCCGAGCGTCTGCGGCTCTATGACGGCTGGGCCGCCCGCTACGAGCAGGTACCGGGGACACCGCGGCGATGGGAGCGCCGGGGGGCCGCGGCTGTCCCCGCTGACCGCCGTRTCCCYGCAGGATGTGGCGGCTCTGGAGTACCGGGCACCGCATCTCGCCGCCGCCTCGCTCGCCTTCGCCTTCCCCGCGCCGCCCGCCGGGGCACGGSTGCTCGACGTGGCGTGTGGCACCGGGCTCGTAGCGCGGGAGGTACCGACGGGACGGAGATAACGGGACGGGGACAACGGGACAGGGACAACGGGACAGTGCGGGGCGGGGCTGACGGTGCCTCTGTCCCCGCAGCTCCACCGGCGCGGGTTCCGCTSCCTGCACGGCGTGGACGGCAGCGCGGGGATGCTGGAGCGGGCACGGAGCACCGGGCTCTACCAGGAGCTGCGGCTCTGTGTCCTGGGCCGGGAGCCGCTGCCAGCGCCCGCAGGTACCGGGAGGGGGCGGACCCGAGGGGACCCCTCGGTGACACCCGCAGGTGACGGGGCGGCACCGGGTCGGAGGGTCCCCCCGTGACGCCCCGTGTCCTCGCAGAGCATTACGACGCCGTGACRCTGGTGGGAGCCCTGGGCGAGGGGCAGGTGCCGAGCACGGTGCTGCCAGAGCTGCTGCGGGTCACCAAGCCGGGTGAGGGGGGCCCCGTTTCCCCTCCCCGCCGAAATCCCCGGGGTGGTGAGATGAGGACCCCGAGTCCCGGTGGATGTGGGTCCCTGTCTGGGCGCTGGTCCCTGCCCCAGGCACGGGGTCCCTGACCCTGACAAGGCAGGAGGTGGCAGTGGCAGTGCTGGTGCATGGCATCCTGTGCTCAGGCGTGACATCCCGCCCACCCCCTGCCCACTGGCCCCCCGAGGGGATGCGCATCTGTGCCTGCTTCCTGGCTGTGCCCGTCCCCTGCCCTGGCCGCTGCCTCCTGGCTGTGTCCCCGCCGTTTCCGAGGGGATGCCACCCCAGAGAGGGACACCCCGTGTCAGTRTTACCTGTCCCCTCTCCCGCAGGCGGCTTCCTGTGCCTGACCACAAGGAGCAACCCCTCGAACCTGCGGTACAAGGCGGGGCTGGAGGCGGAGCTGGAGCAGCTGGAGCGGAGCGGAGCCTGGCAGAAGCTGCTGGCCCAGGAGGTGGAGTACTGGGAGAGAGCCACCACCGAGGAGGAGAGCACCCAGGGCACCGGCTACATCTCCGGGGTGGTCTACCTTTACCAGAAATGCCCTGTGCCCCCGCTTGAGGAGGACTGAAAGCCAGCATGGCTGTGGGGAGGGATGAACACTTGGCCCCTTACGAAACTGAGTGCAGAGAGCCCCTCCTGGAGCAGGGCAGCTGCTGGGGGCTGACAGAGTTTTGGGGCAGTGTCCCCAATCCCTTCCCTGCCTCCTTCTCCCCGAGGTCTGGGCTTGGGGACCTTGTCTGCTCCTCAGCACAGGGAGGGTCTCTTGGTTTCACCAGGGTCTCCAGCGTACCATCTTTAGCTCTGACATTCAGGTATTGTCCCCAACATCTCAATGCTCACCATGACATCTCGCAGACCCCCATGGCTGTTCCAAGGCATCTCCAGTCCAGGATGTTTTCTCCCCACCTTGCCCACCTCAGACTCATGGCCAAAATCTGGATCCTTCTTCATCTCCCACCCCCAGAGCCCCGTGGTCTTTACCTGGGGACTGTTGGAGTTGGGTGCCCATYGCTGTGTCTGGTGGCCTCCCATCCTCATCCTCCCCAGGGTTTAACCCAGCCCTGAGGTGCTGGGGCCTCCACATCCACGGTGCCAAGGTTGGAGAGGCTTTTCAAGCACCACATCCGCCTTTCATCCCACAACAGCTGCTTGAATCTCTCATTTTCCCACAGCTTTGTAGTTAATGGTCTGGGTGGGAAGTGAGTTTGGAAGGGATTTGGGGAGGTGGTGGCTGCTCCCCACCCAGGAGCCACCCAGCACTGCCTGCCCAGCCTGTTCCCCCAGCCCCTTGCTGGGCTGCCTCCACAATTCCTCTTCCACTRCTCCCTTGGGAAGTTTTTTACCCAAATCTCTTGCTGGAATATTTGGATTTTTTTCATTTTTCCCTTCCCTCAGACTTGTTCCTGCTCATCCTGTTCCCATCTCCCTGGGGAACAGGTTGCATCCTTCCCCTCAGGAGYTCTTCCGTGGCGTGAGGCAATGGCTGTGTCTGTCCCTGTCCCTCATCCAGTGCATCCCACATCTCCCACTCTCACCCTCCCCATGSCTGTTGCCACCCTTTGGCTTTGTGCCCCATGTTTTGGGATCACTGTGCCCATCAGTAGCTGTCCTACTGCCCCCTCCCCCGTTTGTCTCCAGCTCTGTCCCCGGGGCAGCTGGGGGCTGTGGCTGTTCCCAGCCCTGCCCTTGCCTGTTCAATAAAGCCCTGTCCCTGCTGTCTGCCTGCTGTGTGTGGTTCCCAGAGCCATGGGAATGTGGGACCTCCAGGGTGGGTGCCCAGGAACCTGGGAGGGGGGCTCAGCCTTTCTCTGGGGTCCCCTCYCAGTCCAGGGGGCTCAGAGGACCTGGTGTCCCCCTGTGCCTCTCAACTCTCAGCATTCTCTCCCTGCCTCAGTTTCCTGCTGTCGGGAGTACCAGGAACACCCTGGCTGGCCACTGCTGATCCCTGTAAGAACACGGAGATATTCCAGGTGCTGGAACACAGCAACTGGCAGGGCACAGCACCCCCAGGACGTCACCACCTCCCCACACCGCGCTGTTCAAAATGAGCCCAGGCAGCCTTGGTGGCACCAGGATGTTTATAGCCCCTGCCCTGGGCAAGGGCACACGTGGGGACCGTGCTGGGGGTCAGCAGGAGGAGGCAGTGCACGGRCAGGGGGTGGCACAGGGATGCAGGACAGGGACGGTGGTGCTCTACCTGGGGAAGAGCACACAAGGGGACCGTGCTGGGGGTCAGCCAGCGTGGGGTGGGCAGGAGGAGGCAGTGCAGGGGCAGAGGGTGGCACAGGGACACAGGACAGGGACAGTGGTGCTCTGCCTGGGGAAGAGCACACAAGGGGACCGTGCTGGGGGTCAGCCAGCGTGGGGTGGGCAGGAGGAGGCAGTGCAGGGGCAGAGGGTGGCACAGGGACACAGGACAGGGACAGTGGTGCTCTGCCTGGGGAAGAGCACACAAGGGGACCGTGCTGGGGGTCAGCCAGCGTGGGGTGGGCAGGAGGAGGCAGTGCAGGGGCAGAGGGTGGCACGGGGACACAGGACAGGGACAGTGGTGCTCTGCTGGCACCTGAGTGCAGCGGCTCACACGTAGTCCTTCATGGCATAGCCCATCGGGCCGGAGCTTTTCACCGCCCTRTACTTCTTGGGATAGGGGTCCTGCTGGGACTGGGATCCTGAGCARCACAGGATGCCCCCACCGAAGAGCTGCAGGGCACTGGAGGCCCAGCCGATGTAAAGAGCAGCCCCCAGCTCTCTCTTGAGGGCCTCGGGCACCATGGGGTTGTAGAAGTTGCTGACGATGCTGTTGGCAGACCAGGAGACAGGGATGAGCAGCATGATGCTGGCCATGATGAAGATGACGCCTGCCACCGCGGAGATCCTGCTCTTGGTGCCGTTGTCGTCCACGCAGCGGGTGCAGTCAGCTCCCGAGAGGGAGATGAGGAAGGCGAAGAAGGCCACGAAGATGGAGGTGACYACCAGGGCACGGGCGGCTTGCAGGTCGGAGCTGAGCTCCAGCAGGGAGTCGTAGGCCTTGCACTGCATCTGGCCCGTGCTCTCGTAGACRCAGTTCATCCACAGCCCCTCCCAGAACACCTGCGCCACCACGATGTTGGAGCCRATGAAGGCGGTCACCTTCCACATGGGCAGAGCACAGGTGAGGATGGAGCCCAGCCAGCCCACCGCAGCCAGCATCAAACCTCCCAGCTGCATCGTCATCGTTGCCATTGGCAGCACCTGTGGGGACAGGGCACGGGTGTCACAGGGACAGCATGGGCTTCATCTGCRCTGTCCTGCTCCCCACTGGGGTGGGAATGGCTGCAGGACAGCATGGAGACATGAGTGACATGGGGACATGAGTGATATAGGGATATAAATGACACGGGGACATGAGTGACATGGGGACGTGAGTGATATAGGGATATAAATGACATGGGGACATGAGTGACATGGGGACGTGAGTRATATAGGGATATAAATGACATGGGGACATGAGTGGTAGGGGCAGTGCTGCAGGACAGGATGAGGACACATGTGGCACCGAGGACCCATGTCCTGGCCTCACCCCACACTCACGCCATGTCCTGGCCCCCTCCCCTGGCCACCCCCAGTGCCCACCCCATGTTCCCTCCAGCGCCGATGCTCAGCTTCCCTGGCCACGAGCCTGGTGCTGGGGGCACCAGGTCAGGGGAGGGAGCTTTCCACCCCCTCAGCACAGCCCTGCTCCCCGTTTGGCTTTGCCCTCACAGCTGTGCTACGGCGCCCTTTGGACCCAGGATCTCCTGTCTGGGGTGCTGGACATGGGTCAGAGCTCAGCTCTGCTCCGATCTCAGCTCTGGGGCTCAGATACCAGAGCTGGGCCCTGGGAGCAGCCCTGAGAGGGCAAATCCTGGCAAGGGGCTACAGGGTCACCCCTGARAGAGGGGTGGCTGGTACAGGGACACATGCTGGACACACCTACAGCTCCAGCAGGGTCACACATGGCCCAGCTCAGCCCAAATCCAGCTCAGCCCCTCACGGAGCAGAGTTCACCCGTGGGTGCCTGCGCCACGTGTGGCGGTTGGGACCAGCTGGGGTTTTATGGCCCCGAGCTCAGCGGGGTATCGGTTGTGCCCGGCACACCCTGCGGCTCTTGCYGGAGGTTTCACCATCATTTCTCCCGTCCCAGTTTCGGTTTCTGCAGCTTTTCCTCTCCCATTGTGTCCCCACTCATTCCCCGGCACCTTTCATCCCTCAGCAGCCTGATGGACACCCAGCAGTGGACACTGCATTGCCTGGGCCATGAAAGATTCTTCAAGCCAAAATCCCAGTTCCTCTTCCCATGCTCCAGGCAGATAGGGGCCAGGATGATGGGAGGCATTCCAGACACCCTTCCCCAGCCAGCAGGACCTGGGCCACGAGAGACACCCAAAACAGAGGGTATGACTGCTTGCAGGGGGTCAGGTGGTGTCCCCATGGATCCCTGTGCTCCCATTCCCACCTGGCCACAGGGTCACAGGCATATTGCCACCGTTCCCCTGCCCAGTGAAGGACTTGGGGAACTGGGAGTCCCCAAGGTCCCAGAGCCAGGCACATCCCGAGGTGGGAAGCATGGATGTTCCCAAGCCGGAGGAGCGCTTGCCGTGCCGGAAGCGAGATAGGCAAAACAGCCGGCKCTGCCCACGCCGGCCCCGGGGCGCTCCCACCCGGAGTTGTGGGGTGGCCCCGGGGCCAGTGCGCCCCAACTCGCCCCGGCCGGCGCCCGCCGCCTTCTTCCTGCTCGGGTGGGAAGATCGCGGCGGGTCAGGCGTGGGACAGACCCGACGCCGCGTTCGGCGCCGCCAAAGTTTTGGGTCGTGGACGCAGCCGCTGTTCACCACCGGGTGGCCCGGGGAGGGGGGRAGCAGCGAGCGATGCCAGCGCTGGAGAAGGCGGCGGGGATCGCGGGAGGCTCCGAAGAGCAGATTTAGGGGATCTCAGGGGGCGGGGGCCCAGCTCACAGGAGCACTGGGCTGTCCCACCACCGARGCGGGTGTTGGAGAGGGTAAAGAACACGAGGCACAGGGGGGTCTGAGCAGCTGCCGTTTAATGCGGGGAGCTGGGCGTGAGGACGGAAGGCAGCACAGCCAAGGGGTACCATGAGCCACTCCYTCCCTCCCCCGGGCACCCCACTCTGGGGCGATGGATGGGGGGTCGGGTCCGGGAGTCGCCCCCCGCCATGCGGGTGCACAGCCCCGCACCGGTCCCGCCTCCCCGACCGGTTCTCCCAGCCCGGCCGCTGCCTTCCCACTCCCAGGATAATGATGCCCCCGCCCTGGGGAGAGAAATCGCRCTCCGTACGGCCGCTCCGAGCCCCGAAAGTAGGTCAAAGTCAAAATTTAGGGAACGGGCAGATGAGATCTTTGTCACCCCTCACGACCCTGCCAGGGTCTGCAGAGCCACCACGTCCCCGTGATCACGTGGGACAGGTTCGCTGTCCCTGCCAGCACCGACACCGCCACCCATCCCGAGGCACAGACACGTTCCGGGGAGCTTCACCCCGTGAGAGCCCTGTGCCACCCGTGGGACGGGCTCCCGGGAGCTGTGTCACCGCATGGCACACCCCGATACCGGGAGCCAGGAAACGCTCGAGGAGGGGATCGGGTGGTGTCTCKGAGAAGATGCCTCAGCTCCCGGGGGAGCAGGACCCCCACCGCGGGCAGCCAGGACAGGATCTCCTTGTTCCCTGTCTCGACCGAGATTAAAGAACCRGCTTCAGTCCCGGTGGAACAAAGGCGTCTCTGTCTGCCCTCCCTCGCACCGCCCCGGCGCCCGGCCAGTCCCAGCCCGGCCGGGGGGGCTGCGTGTCCCGGGAGGTCCCCGTTCCCTGGAGTGGCCGGGGTGTCCAGGCAGGCGCGGYGCCTCCTACACGTAGTTGCTGGCCGGTAGAGAGCGAGCGGCCGTGAACTTGGCGGAATAGGGCTTCTCTCCGCGGGGGGGGCAGGTGCAGCACAGGATCCCCCCTCCGAGCAGCAGCAGCGCCGAGGCCGCCCAGCCCACGTAGAGGGACGAGCCCAGGTCCCGCTTCTGCGAGTCAGAGACCATCGGGTTGTAGAAGTCCTGGATGATGCTGTTGGCCGACCAAGAGATGGGGATGAGGATGAGGACACCAGCGATGATGAAGATGATGCCAGAGAGGATCATGACCTTGGATTTGGCAGTGTCGTCCTCCACGCAGTTGGTGCACTTGCCACCAGTGACGGCCAGCAGGGTGCCCAGGATGGCCAGGACGATGGCCACCACCACCATGGCGCGAGCGGCTTGAAGGTCCTGCGGCAGGGCCAGCAGCGAGTCRTAGACCTTGCACTGCATCTGCCCCGTGCTCTGCACCACGCAGCTCATCCACAGCCCTTCCCAGATGATCTGCGCCACCACGATGTTGTTGCCGATGAAGGCCGTCTCGCGCCACATGGGCAGCGCGCAGCAGAGGATGGAGGCCAGCCAGCCGATGACRGACAGGGCGATGCCCAGTACCTGCATCCCCATGGAGGCCATCGCTCTCTGCCTGCTCCCCAGCCCGCTCCCGCTGCGTAGTGCCGGCTGCCAGGACCATGGCAGGCATTATATGCCTTTGCCGAGGGAGGAGCACCCHGCAGCCGCCGTCCTGCCGCCGGCAGCGGACGGAGGGGTAGAACCAGTTTCCCGGGATTCTTCCGCTTGTATTTCTCCCTGCAGCGATGACACTTAATATCCCGGTTGCTCCCACGGAGCAGGACGCGGGGACCGGGATCAGGCCACCCAGGCACACGAGTGCATCTCAATCACTGCGGGCCGACAGGACATGCCCAGGGCAGCACTGGGGCTCGGCCTGGCGTGACAAAGGGGAAGAGCCAGTGTCCAGGCACTGGGATGTCTCTGCCATCACTGCCAGCACCCTCTGCTCCATCATTTGGATGGGGTCCATTCATGCCTCAGTTTTCCCCCAGCTCACAGTGACTACTCCAACACCAGCCCAGCCTCCGGCCCCCCATGGCCCCGTGCCAGGGGAGCAGCACATTGTCCCCTCTGGCTGCTGGGCTTTGTGCCCAGCAGGACACAAGCGGCTCTTGTTTGCTCCTTGGCGTCCGTACCAGCACTTCCCAGCCCTCCATAAGGCCTCGGGCAGGAGGTGTCACCACCCAGACCCACAAACCGGTTGGAGCAGCTGCCAGTTCCCCACGAAGGAAAGACAGCACTGCCTGGGGCAACAGGGGAGCAGACCCCAAACCCAGCCCACCTGTGCTCCAGTGCTGAACCAGGGTGCACACAGCCACCCTCAGCCTCAGCTCTGCTCATGTCCCACTGCCCTGTGGTGGGTTTGGGTGGTTTGGGGCTGTGAGGGGCACATGTGGCATCGAGGTGTCCCGATGCTGTACCCACTGATCCCATTGCCAACGCCAATGCCAACACTGAGGGCACACCGATGCTGACCTGTCCTCCTTTAATCCATGACTCCCACACAGGTCCCCTCCCTGCTCCCTCTGAGCCCCTGCAACACCTGCGCAAGCCCAGCACAGCACCAGACTGATGGCAGGGACGGACAGAAGGACATTGCACTGTTTCATCACCCCAGCTTAATCCTGGGCCTCTGGAAAAGATAAGAGGCACTGAGATAATCTTAGTTTTCCTGAGCACTGGGGTTACCATCACAATCCAACCATTTGTGCTCRTTGCTCGGTGTGATGGACTCTGGAGCTGCCACTGCTCATGCCAGGAGGTCCATGGGCATCATATCCCAGTATGGTGGGACAAGCCTGGTGGGCACTGCAGTGCCAGGAGGGTGCCTGGGGTCACCCGTGTCTCAGGGCAGACCCCAACCTGAGGGGATGGTCGGGCTCCTGCCTGCCTTCCTTGTGCCAGAGGAGCTGCCCTGGCTCCGTCCCTGTGTCCTGCTGGAACGCCCACATTGCTCACATACCAGTGTGTCCACCCTGCGGCCAGAGCMTTGTGGTCAAGGGTTCTCTTTAATCTGCAAGGCTCCAGAGCATCCCCGCCGGGGTCAGACTCTGCCTGAGGCTTTCACCTCTCAGCCAGCTGCTGTAACCACCACATTATTTGGGGTTGGAGAGAGGCACATGCCCACATGTGTGTGTGTGTGGCTCGTATGGGCTGTGTCCCCACAGGCACGTGGGGACATGTCTCTGAGCTGGGGATAAATGGCAAGGTGGGACAGGGACACCCCCGCGCGCAGGACATCAAAGACTGAGCTGTTCACACTCCCCCTCAGAGGCAGAGCAGGCGCCAGCACCGCCTCCGACAGCCAATTAATGTAATTAACGTTGGAACGTGACACATATTCCACCTGGCAGCTGCCATCCAGGGGCAGCCCCTGTGCCCGCCCTCACGTTCCCCAGTGACAATCCCACCCAGACAGCACTGCCAGYTCCTTGTCCCCAGCACTGCCAGCCAGCAGGAACGAGGGACACTGGCTCAGCACGGAGCAGAGGAGCAAGAGCCAACCGCAGTGCCCGTGGGACCGCCGAACGCCTCGGACCTGTCAGCCAGGACAGCAACTCCATGGACACCGGCCCCAGACAGACACCGGCCCCACACGGACACCGGCCCCACACGGACACCGGCCCCACACGGACACCGGCCCCACAGCCCTGTCCCAACGCTCAACCCAGAGCATTCTGCAGGACCCCAGTCCCAGCTTTGTCCCAGTGCCACCTGCAAGGAGCCATGGCACAGGCACATGTCCCGGTGGGACTGCAGCCCATTTGCTCAGCAGGGAGATCCTCCACCCCAAAATAGGGTGGGGTCAACCCACTGAGCCCTTCCTGAGCTCTCACCACCCAGCACCTGCCCCAGCTCCCRGAGAGGTGTGGATGCCCTGCCCTGAATCCAGTGGGATTTGAAGGACATGGGGGAGCCTGGGTTCCCATCCCTGTTCCACTGCGCTAGGACGGTTGGTGAAGGCAGTGCTCCTGTCCTGGCAAATCCATCAGAAAACACCCTCTGACACTTACACTGGCTTCACCAGCATGGGGACACACTGCAGCCCCTCAAYTGGGCATTCCCAGGCACGGAGATGACCTTAAACCCAGTGCCACCACGCCAGGCGCACGGGGTGCACASCAGAGGCTGTGTCACCCTGACTTTGCTCGGGGCAGAGGACACTCCGCGGAGAGGGCTTGGGGCACAAATCTCCTGCCAAAAAGGGCTTGGGTACATSTCCACCTAGGACACAGGTGACAGTCCCACCTCACACACCCCATGGCGCTGAGCTGAGAGCCTCACATCCCCCAGAGCCTGCACATGAGCCCCTCACCCCGGCTACCTCAAGGTCCTCAAAAGGCAGGTGAGACTTCCTGCAAGCGACGATCCACCAGGACCCGGCTTCACATCGGCCAAGCGAGGCACGGCCACCAGCCCTCCTGCTCAGCCCGTGAGGAGCAGGACAGCCTTCTCCCCGTCAGAGCCGGGGATTAGATACTGGTAGTCCAGAGACTGAATGTTCCAAAAAAACATCCTTGCACAACACAAACCCCTCCGACCGACACAAATATGCACACTCAGGTTGTTTCGCGATGGGAATGCAGAGCCTTATCGGCTCGGCGGGAGGGAAGCTGCGCGCCGGGACCTGCGGGGTCCCTGCGGGGAGAGACGGCGTCTTCGGCCTGAAAGTCAGAACTCTGTCCAATCTCTGAGCAACAGGTGGCTACCAACAGGGAAAACACCTCCAAATGATGCCACGGTGGTTGGCAAAGGGATGGGGCAGATGGTGGACGAGGATGGGGGTCACGGGCGGTGCAACGGGGGCCTCCCCACGGGCGATGCTCGGAGGAAGCGGGATGMTACGGCAAAGCCTTGGGGAAGCCGATCGGAGCCGTCGGGGTGGGGATGACCCAGGCGTGGCCCAGCAWCCCCCAGAGAGCCACCAGCCCCCTGCCACATCCCTCTGGTCCGTGTCCCCCGCAGCCCCAGCCCCCGTGTGCCGCAGTTCCCTCCCCGCCCCGCCGGCAGACAGAGCTGCCATTGATGCTCGGAGCCGCCTCACCTGCTCCCGCCGCTCCGAAGGGGCTCCAACAATGGGCTGCCTGTGTGCCCTGGCCGGGGCAGAGCCAGCAGCCCCGCGCCTGAAATATAAGCAGCCGAGGCGGCATTTACCGCCCCGGCCCCGCTCCCCCGGGGGGGAACGCGTCGGCACTCCCGACCGCAGCGGGGGGAACACCCCAACCCCGCCGCACACGTGAGCGGGACGCGGCCCCGCGGCGCCCGCAGCGGTTTCTGCCGTCACCTCCTGCTCGCCCCGGGGTGCTGGGTGCATGGATGGGGGATCCTGCAGTGGGTGTTGCCCCTGTCAGCGCAGGAGTCTTTCCTTTGGGGCCCCCAAACCGGTGATGCTCCCGTGACCTTTGGATCCGAYATTTGCTCGGGGTCTGTGCATCACGGTGGAGCAAACCTGTCCCCRTGTCCCCACTGAGTTTTTGCGGCCACCGCGCTTTGTCTCCATCCCGAGGGAATTTGATAYTCCCCGTGCCTCCCCAGCTGTGCAGGAGAGCAGAGGGGCTGMACCAGCGAGGGAGATGCAGCAGTTGGGATGGGGGTGCTCCCAGGAATCCCCCAGCGACGCTGGCCCTGCTCAGCTCCTCAGTAAACACSGGTTTGCTCACCACAAGAATGTGTCCTGGGGTGGCCGGCACCCTGAAACCCCGGTGATTTGCCCCTTCCTCCGTCGTGAGTCAGGCACCGGCAGCTGCCCCAGGCTGGCACGATACTGGACAGAGCCTGTACTTTGGGCAATTTGGGATGACAAAGTGGGGACGCGGCGYGTGGGGCTCTGATTGCAGGGTCGGGGGCTGTGGTGTTTTGCTGCCCTGGCCCACCCCAGCTCTGCCCCAGTAGCTCCTACCCCAGACACCTGCCTGGAGTGTCCCACTCTTCTCCTGCCCCATAGCCCCATTGTCCCTACTCAGAGGTATCCCTCCTGCCTGCCCCTCCTACTCCTGTGCAGATTATCTTCCCTGCCCCATGCCCTGGTATGGAGTATTCCCATTGTCCCACAGACCTGGGAAATAACCCTGCCCCTTATCCCTGAGCCTCACAGCCCTGCTTGGGGTGCCACCCCCCTTCCCGAGAGCCCTGTCTGGGGTATAACCCTGCCCCAAAGCTCTGTTTGGGGCATCCCCACACCCCACAGACCTGCATGGGGTACTCCCCTGCCCCAGTGCCCTGCCAGGGGAACTGCCTACAGCCCCCACAGCTGTGTGCACTGTGAGGGGTGTGTGCACCTGTACCTGTACCACACCTGAGTGTGCCTGTCCACCTCTGCCTGTGTCATCAGTGTGTGCTTGTGTGTGTGTGAGTGTGTGTCTGTGAATCTGTGAGTCTGTGTATGTGTGTGAATGAGTCTGTGTGTCCATGAGTCTGTCTGTGAATCTGTCCGTGTGTCTTTATGTGTCCGTCTCTGTGCGGCTGCGTGCTGGGGTGTCGCTGCCAGCAGAGGGGGTGTGTTTGTGTGTGAGTGTGTTTGTGTGTGCATGTGTGTGTGGTTTTGCGTGTGTGTTTGTGTGTGTGTGTGGCTTTTTTTGTGTTTGTATGTGTTTATGTGTGGTTTCGTGTGTTTTCCTGTGTTTTCCTGTGTTTTCCTGTGTTTGTGTGTTTTTGTGTGCGTTTGTGTGGTTTTGTGTGTTTTTGTGTGTTTGTGTGGTTTTGTGTGTTTGTGTGAGTTTTTCTGTGTGTTTCTGTGTGTTCTTGTGTGTGTTTTTGTGTGTTTGTGTGTGTGTGTGCCTGTGCACAGTTGTACCCCAGGGCCGGGGGTGCTCCCCTGCCCACCGGGGGTCCTCGGCAGCCCAGCCCCTCCGTTTGCCTCTGGCAGCCCAGCAGGCCTGGCTCTGTGCCCACTGTCACCTGTGATGGCACTGGACCATGGACACCCACCCCCAGGTGCCCCGAAGGCGGGGACCCCCCAGCAATAAGGGCACAAAGCCCTGGGGTGCTGCTCACACGGGCTCCCCCCAGCAGCACATATGGGGTCCCCCCAGCCGGCTGTGGGGGTTTCGGGTGCCCTTGGGGGGATGATTATGGTACAGTCATGGCAGAAGCTCGCCCAGCCTGGTACAGTGGCTTGGCAGGGGATGGATTTGTGGGTATTGGGATGTCACAGTGTGATGGAGGTCAGACATGGGGTGCTGCAGGAGGCTGGAGATGAAGCTGGGTGGATATGGGGTGCTGGGGTGACATGGGGTGACAACAGCTGACCCAGTCATATATGGGGTATCAGCGTTCTGTGGGGTGACCCCACTGGCTATGGGGGTTCAGTGTGCTGCAGCGTGATAGAAGCTGGCCCATCAAATAGCAGGTATCAGGGTACTGTGGGGCACTCAAATATGACCCCTCTGGCTATGGGGTGTCAGGGTGCTGTGGGGCACAGCCAGGCAGTTGCAGGGCTCCACCCCCATCCCAGCTGCACAGCAGCAGCTGCCAGCATCCCACMGCGCTCTTGAGTAGTTAATAAGTTGTAGAGGAGATTTTTGGAGCAGGTGGGGAACAGGTAGGAGCAAGCCCGTGTCCAGCAACCACATTCCTGGGGGAGGGGGCTGGGAGCACCGGCACTACCCCCAGCAGGTGAGGCTGCGGGGGGACACWGGCACCCCACAGCCATGGGGTTGCTGCTGCCAGGTCTGAAGGGATTGCTCATGCCTTGGGATATTTTTCCCCTTGCCAGACGCCAGCTCAGGTTGTAGGGGTGACGCTGCCGGGGTGGTTACGTGCATTATCTGCTTCCTTCAAGGCCACAAGACTTGTGCAGGATGAGTAAAGATACTTATCAGTCAGTCAGAGGATCTCTGACAGCGCTCCCGGCCCAGCAGGGTGGGAACAGGACGGGGCCGGGCTGGAGGGGTTCCAGCTGGGCTGGCAGCACCCRCAGGTTCCCTGGGACGGTGACACAAACCTCGTGGCACAGCGAARGGGTTGCACTTTGCACGGTGATGCAAAGGTGCCCAACGCTCACCGAACCCCAGTTAAACGTGAGCACTGATAACACGCTCCAGAAATCAACAAACCCTGACCTGCCAGCACCTCCATGGGGGAAAGGTGAACCCTTGGGATTTCCAGGTCTACAAAAGGGGTTTGGTGGYAACGAGCATGGTGGTTGTGCTTCCCGATACCCGTTGGCCCGAAACCAGGGGTGGCAGTGGCAGGTGGCGTTTCTCCTCCTCCCGCCCTTCTCTGGTTACCCGGCGCCATCTCTGCAAACAAAGGGGAGGGTGTGGGACGCAGGTGACGGTGACGGAGGAGCAGAGAGGAGCGTCCAGCAGCCAGCACCGAAACCCCACCCCGGGGCCAGCCCGTATAAATAGCACTGCGCACAGGTGTAAGCCGATCCCCCGGCTGTGAGCGGCGGCGGGTGACGGCCACGGTCTCGGTCCGTGGGTTCTTCTCCGCCATCGCCCGCAGCGCGTCACTGAACCGTCCACCATGTCGATGGGACTGGAGATCGGCGGTGTGGCCTTGTCCGTGCTGGGTTGGTTGTGCAGCATCATCTGCTGTGCGCTGCCCATGTGGAGGGTGTCGGCCTTCATCGGCAACAACATCGTGACGGCCCAGATCATYTGGGAAGGGCTGTGGATGAACTGCGTGGTGCAGAGCACGGGGCARATGCAGTGCAAGGTCTACGACTCCATGTTGGCGCTGCCGCAGGACCTGCAAGCCGCCCGCGCCCTGCTGGTGGTGGCCATCGTCTTGGCCGTCATGGGCTTAATGGTGGCCATTGTGGGCGCCCAGTGCACCCGCTGCGTGGAGGACGAGAGCACCAAAGCCAAGATCACCATCGTCTCCGGCGTTATCTTCCTTCTCTCCGGTGTCATGACCCTCATCCCCGTCAGCTGGTCAGCCAACACCATCATCCGGGATTTCTACAGCCCGCTGGTGATCGACGCACAGAAGCGGGAGCTGGGCACCTCGCTCTACGTGGGCTGGGCAGCCTCCGCGCTCCTGATGTTGGGGGGGGCCCTGCTCTGCTGCTCCTGCCCCCCGAAAGATGACAGGTACCCCACGGGCAAGGTGGCCTACTCCGCCCCGCGCTCCGCCGTCACCAGCTACGACAAGAGGAACTATGTCTGAGCCCCCCAGGGTCCCCCGGCATCCCCTGACGTCCCCCACCCCACCCACCCATCCCGGGACCCTCATCGCCCTCCGTGGGGCCCGGGGACGGCAGCGCCGGGGCGGGGGGGGGCGCGAAGGAGGGGACGAGGACGGCTGCGGGGTCAGGGCCGGGCTGTGTAAATAGAGACGGTTTCGGTTAAACACGAGGCAGTTTCGGGTCGGCGGGAGAAGCGGCGCCCGGCGAGGTCCTGCCACGCCGGTGGAGCAGGATGAAGACGGATGGGGACGGTGCCCCCTGCTGTGTCCCCCCATCGCTGCTGGCCCGGCACCGTCTGTCCCTGTTACGCGTGGTCTGTACCGGTTACATTTGTCAATAAACGTGTCCTGTTTTGGTACCCGAGTGTCCTTGGGGCGTGGGGCACGATCCAGGTGGGCACAGGTAGCGGGGAACAGTGGGGTACAACCTTGCTACGGCAGCACCCGAGTGGCACCGGGCCGGGGACAGAGGGCTCAGCCGCAGCCGCGGTCCCTCCCGCCCCGGGGTCCTTTGCTCGCCGTGGGGGACCCGTTGTCCCCCTGCATTCCAGAAGGAGCTCCCGGGAAGGGCCGGGGCGGGGAGCAGCGGAGGAGCCGCTGGATGCCGCAGGGACACTCCCTGCCCGCCGGTCCAAAGTCTGGGGCCGCCGGGGGGGCCGCGGGGCGCTCCCCCCGGCCGGGTGCCGCGCTGGGRCGAGGCCGCCCTGCCCGGCCGCTCCCTCCCGCCCGCCGCCACGCTCCAGCGGACAGGGACAAAGGGGCAGCAGCTGCCGCACAGCGCGAGGCCGGTCCTGGGGAAAGCGCGGCCGGGAGCGGCGAGTGCGGGGCTGATCCGCCCGGTCCCGCTGTGCCCGCGGGCGGCAGCGGGCGGAAGGGCACTGCGGACCCCCCGCCGCCCACCCGCTCGGCCGCAGGCAGCCGCCCCGGCCGGCTCACGTCCACCCGAGCGCCCCACCCCCTGCCCGCTGCCCGCTCCGCTGCCCGCGGGGAAAGCAGCGGAACCGGCCCCGCCGTGACCT